AGACCTGTTGTTAAAAAAGTATTGTTCTTTAACAGCTTAGATTTTTAAGAATTTTAGAATTTTCCTGTGTTTCTCAACTTCATCATCTTCCATTGTGCATTTTATATCTCCACTTGAGCTAAGGCATAAATTTACATGTACAGTCAAGCCTTTCTCCCCTGCATCTTTCATTATTTAGTGTACATTCTGAAGTTTTGCTATATGTTTTGATAGGCAACACGCTGACTTGCAGTGTTTTTACTGCTGTGTTACATGAAAATTTGATTATTTACAGTAATCAGTCCCATTGCAATAGAGCCCTGGAGTATGATTAGACTTTCGATTTTCTGTTGGGCAAGCTACTTGCAAATCAGCCCTTGAATTTACGGTACTACCTTGGATATGACTTAACTAGAAGAATGAGTATTCCTGAATGAATAGCTCTGTTACCAAACTCCAGGCCAAACAGTAAGCTCTGTCACTCCTATAGATATTAATGTGGTTGTGCTCACATGGCAGGCAGCATCTTCAAATAGGACTGAAATACACTGAAACAGAGGGAGGGCAAAATCTGAGCAGTTAGAAACATCAAATTACTTCTCCATTGCCATTCACAGCTTTTTACTGACCTTAGTGCAGTCAGTGTGAATTTTGCCAATTAACTTCAATAGGAGGAGAATCTGGGTTGGACTGAGGTTTCTGTTCCTGCCTACAGCAACACAGATGCATGGCAGAACACTCTCAGGAAGAATAAAAAAGGGCAAATTCCCAGTTGCTGTGGCAACAGAAGGGATGATTCTCTTCACTATCACGTAATTTTGAAATTCAGTATGTGCTTTGTGCCATGACATGTGTTTCTCTCCTTTGTCAAATTTATGTTTTTTTCCCTTGCAGGAGGCCCATCAGGAAAAGAGCATAGGAGAAAACTATTAACACAAATAGCCCCTAGAAGCCTTTTCACATTTCCCACCTCATACTTTCCAAGATAGAAAAAGCATGTATTCAAACAAGTGAAAAGAACTGCCTTCAACATACACTTCCCGAAAGTGTAGATGAATTCAAACTGCTCTGTGAATGCTCTTCAGTGAATGTGAGATGACTGGTATAGAAATGTCTGAGAAGAATGCTAAGACCTCTGCCACAGAGAACATCAGCCAAAGGCTGTCCACCTTCTTTTCTCACCCTCTCTTCTATTGGGTCCCTTCTTGCTGTAGTTCTTGGATTTAACCATTTCATTAAGGGCTGTAAACACCCAGTGAGACTCAGGGCAAGTTTCAACATCTTCAGGAAAGCAGTGGAATATACAAAATGTGACTTATGGTGCCCAAAAGACTTACAAAGGCAATCAAACCAAAGGGGATGCAAGTGCAGTTCTCTTCCCTTCTTCTTCCTGTTCTCTGTTCTATAGGAGGCAGTTCCCAGGCTGGCAGTTCTCTTTTCAGGGTAAGAAGACAGAAAAACTGGTCTCCACAGCCAAGGACAGAGAATAGACTGGAAACATATGTTCTCTGTACTTGGGATGATTCAGTTTAGGTATAGTACCTGGGCAAGAGCACAGATGGTGGAAACTGCTGAATCTCAGAGTTGCAGCTTTATATTAGCTGAGATTCTACTTTAATATTTTTACTAAAAAAAAAACCCACAACACTACTCCAAAACTGCATACAACTTCCATGGGGAAATTGAAGAAGTAAAAACTAGCATGACTTCTTTAAAATAATAGTGTGAGTCATTATCTGGAATCTAAATCTCCTAAGCATCAGCCTAATATAACCAAAGCAAAGGCAACTAAAGTGAAGGGTTGTTCAGCTTGGAGAAAGAAGGTTTTTGGGATAACTCATTGTGGTTCTTCCACTATTTAATGGAGGGTTACAAAAAAAAATTTCAAGCTGGTGATAAGAGAAGGGGGAGTGGGTTTTAAACTAAAGGAGGGGAGATTTAGGTTAGATATTAGTTGGCTATTCTTTACTCAGACAGCACTGAGGCCCTGGCACAGCTGCCCAGAAAAGCTGTGGGTGCCCCATCCCTGGAGGTGTTTGAGACCACATTGAATGGGGCCACATAGGTAGGTACAGTATGTATACCTGAAGTATACCTTCCTCCTGTCTGGTGGATGAGGCATGACAGTCAAGCATGTCAACAAATGAAGTGAATATGACACCTTAGGAGAGAATGTCTGTAATCTATTTGGCTTTGAAAATGGAGTAGCACTTGTCACGTGAATATAGATTGAAATTCAGAAGTATCAGGAAACACAATAGAGCTTAACCAATGTGATACCTGTAATCGTACAAAAGTATATACAGCAGCCTACTGGAAAAGAAAAAGGAATGTGATTTATGAAGTACGAATAACCAAAATACAAACTCCTCAACTCTTTAAGGTGGGAGTAAGCACCAAGGTATCTTTATTGGCTTGAGGGCTGGGGCTGAAGATGGGAAACCCAAAGTTGCTCTTTACCTTCCATATTCAGTGGCTATTGGCTTCTATATCAGAGGACGGCAACACAAAGACCCATTACTTTCAAAGTTAAAAAAGCCCTTGTCAGGAAGGAGACCAAGGTACAGCACTGAACAGTATAGAATAGTATAGACTAGCAAAGTTGGAAAGGGACTTCAAAGATCATTGAGTCCAACTACCTGACTACTTCAAGGCCAACCAAAAGATAAGGCATGTTATTGAGGGCATTATCCAAATGGCACTTGAACATAAAAGACATGAGGTATCAACCACCTTTCAAGGAAGCCTGTTTCAGCATCTGACCATCCTCATAGAAAAACAACATTTCTTAATGCTCAGACTAAGCATTAGAATAGCTTCTGCTATTATCTTGTTCAGAGACTTCTTAGCATGACTTTTCCCTCATACATGGCCAAGATCATTCCAGAGCTTTCCTTCACATTCTAAGCAATTCCTATCAACAAAGGTGTAATAACTGCTGATACCCGTTTCCAAGTCTAGTCTGTCATGTAGCAAAAGCTGATTAAGGCAAAGAGAAAGATATACTGTTCAGTAGAGATTGGTTAATACTGCTGTCCTTACACTTGGTATTTAGAACCAGTGGCACTGAAGATACTGCATAAAAAGTTTGGAAAAGAAATGGATAACAAGTTAGTTTGCTAATAGTGTGTAATTCTATCATTAACAGCCAACTGTGAGAAGCTCTTGAGAAACTGTCAGATATAATACCACCAATTTTTTTAAGCCCTTTTTTTACAAAACTCACTTTATTAATCTGAACAAGAACTGAAAGCAAGCTGGAGATACGTAATCTTCCAGTTCTTAATATCACTACACAGAAAAGGAGTTTGTTAGCTCAAATTTGGACTGACCTCACCACTTTGCAATGAATGCAATGAATCCACATCTGTCTTATCCCAAAAAACTTTTACCAAAGCATGCTTATTTTTATGTTCATTAAAAAGAAAAAAGTTCAAATGAGAAAGTAGCCCTGGCAGGTTCACATCACAGTACCTACCCCTCTGGCTACAGTTTTCTTTACCAGGCATGCCTGTAGGAGGAATTTACTTCCCATTTAAGTAAAGGGAAAGCCTCCTGGTGACTTCACTGACCCACCTTGTGACAACCAACTTCCCCACTCCAATGCCATATTGAGCATATCAAGCACTATCCATTACAGTGGTGTTATTTTCTTAATATTGAACTCTGTCTACAAGGAAATGAAATGGGATCACAGATATGATCTTCCCTACATTATATTCCACGGAAGAGCAAATTTTGGCCATGAGTAGTAACATAATCACTGATTACTCAGGTTAAATGATGAAAGTAAGCTGTAATTCCTATGAAGGCACCAACATAAAAGTAACCTATCCTGGGAAAGTCTGAGCAGGTGTCCCCAGAGACTCCCTCAAATCCAGACACTTAGCTATGAAGGCTATGACTTGATATTAATGACCCCTATAAGTTTTGGGGGTTTTTTTTCTCCTTTTTTTTAAATGTTGTGACAACTATAGGGAGTAGTGCTCAGTCTCCTCAAAAATCATAAGAATCTGATACTACTCTTCCTTTTTTTTGTGTAGGTTTAACTTTCCGGTGTCCAATCTTCCTGGACACATATGGTTTTGATCTGATCACGCCATGGATTTTGCTTATTTGGTAGTAAGAGAGCTATAGGGAAAGGCTTCACGTCTTCTCTTCCAAACTCAAGCTGGGATAATGCAGATTTAAATAAGGAAAGCTAAATGTAGCACCTGTCTCCATTAGCTGCGTAACTGCCTAAAGGTTCAAACTGACATTTCCCAAGTATGTGACCTATGATGACAACTGCTAGATGTTTCTGAAGTGATTCAAATACTGGTAAAAGACAAGGTGGAATTAAAAGACAGAGTGAAGGTAGTTAAATGTAAGGAATCTTTGCTTTCTTCAAACTCATAATTCTAATAAGAAGAGAGAATTGATGAATTCTCATTTTGTACAAACATATTCTCATCTCCAAAACAGAAGTAAAAGAGGTAATTCCCTTGCAAGAAATGTCAGAAAGCTTAATTCCAGCCTGGCAAAAGCAAATGCAATTCCACTGATTTCAATGGAGCCACAGATGGCCAACTTAATGTACAACAGGGTTGATCTGGCCCTTCTCCCATACTGTAGCATTGCTTTGCCTAGAAACCTTTGCTTTCAAAGTAATTAACCATGTGTCAACAGCCTGCAACACTGAACTGCAATTAAGTAAATGAATAGGAGACATGTATATTTTAAACCTTATCCCAGTAGCAAACTTATAACAGCAAGTATTGATCTTTTTTCTGTTTAATACTAGGTTCTAATGTCAGTACTACAGACAAGAATCTGAGGATCTGCAGAACAAAATCAATTATTTTACACATATTTCTCCCTCCCATGTATTCCAACATGTATTTCACTTGGATCACATACGAACATAGTGAGAGCCTCAGGAAGAACTTGCTCTGCTTTATGGGCAATCTCAGCACTGGAGCAGGTGGGCACAGGTTCTCTTGCTAAAAGCAGAGAAAGACGGACAGAAGAAAATTGCTTACTGTTTCGAGGCTTCTCCTCATCCATGCCTTCATCTTCATTTTCTGGGTCAATATCTTCTGCTTGAGTTATCCAGTCTAAATAGCCCTTCAAATCCTCTTCTAGCTGTTGCTTTTCCCGTAACTTTTGGAAATCTCCCCGAGCCTTAGCCTTCTCTCTTTCCTTGGAAAATTCCCTAGCAAGAGGGAGGAAGGAACAGGATGTGGGTGGAGGGAGAGGAAAAGATTGAAAAACAGTGAGTTAGATTGATTTCCATTAGAAAGTATCCATATCCTATGTAGTACACTGAGCCTTCCCTATTCTTTCAGAACAGACATGTGAAAGGAGTATCCTTGCTACATACATTTGTAATACAGTTGGAGTGACCACATTTTTACTAATGCTTAGGAGAACATAATTACCTTTTTTAATCCTTTCATTCTCAACATTTGTTTGATAATTGAAATAAAACTCACACGTGGTGCTTGTGTACAGTATCATATACCTTCTAATATTCTTTAACACTTGATATTCTCCAACACTTATCCATAAATATCTAAGTGAATAGCAGTCAACTCAATACAAGGATGAACTGTTTGACAATAATCTGACATCTGGAGAGTGAGACAATGGCTCTAATTTTCAGCCAGGTCTCAATCTGTCCATAAGATTATAGGTATAATCACAACTAAATGACACTAATTGTAAGTGTAAGTAATGATACTCACAATTCTATACACAGTTAATTATGAGCAATTTCACCCATGGGAGTGGACACTCTATTTGAAAATTTAGATTTCAGTGTTTCATAGCATCTGGTATTCAGGACTATTATTTGAAATGAAACTTATTTTTCAAATCTCGAGTTGGGTAGACAAACATAAGCAGTAATGGATTCTGCCAGAAAGTGAAACAGAGTAGGCATCTGATTGCTTGATGGAAGACCACTATTGGGAATATGGACTTAAAAGAGAGGGCAGAGCAACAAGAATTTAATGTTGCTTAGCTATGATCCATGATGTTTGCTTTGCATTCTTTACATCTGCTCTGCATTTTCTTTCTGTCTTTCAGATACATCTATACTCTTACTTTTTTTCTAGAAATGCCAATCTATCTCTATTTAAAGACTCTCCTGTGGCTTCAAGCCAGGTTTTAATACCTGTATTTTAAAAAGGAAGCTTAATAATTGTAAAAAGTGCTAGACTGAAAGTACTTAAACAGTAAGCCTTATATCTGCTGAAGCAGATCACTACACAAGGCATATACAACAGATAATACGGCCCACTATGTCTAGAAATGAGAGAAAAAGTCATTCTTTCAAATGGATTTTTCATTAGCCTCTCTGTTGATTGCTAGAGATAAGCAGAATTAGAGAAAAGAGAAGAGAAGAGAAGAGAAGAGAAGAGAAGAGAAGAGAAGAGAAGAGAAGAGAAGAGAAGAGA